AAAGTGACTGGGGAGGAGAGTACGTGATATTGGTGTTAGTCATCATGTCTCTTGCCCTCATGCTCATCAGCAGAACGGCTCCGCTGAGCGTAAACATCGCCACATTGTCGAAGTAGGTCTATCCCTTCTAGCTCATGCATCCATGCCCTTAAAATATTGGGATGAAGCCTTTATTGCCGCCACTTATCTTATAAACCGTCTTCCTAGCAAAGTGATTGGACATATTACGCCCTTGGAAAAATTGTTTCATCAAAAACAAGACTACAATTCTTTGAGAATCTTCGGGTGTGCTTGCTATCCTAATCTTCGTCCGTATAATCATCACAAACTTGAGTTTCATTATACTCAATGTGTGTTCCTTGGTTATAGTAATCTTCACAAAGGCTACAAGTGTCTTGAAATTTCTACTGGACGAATCTATATTTCTCGCGATGTTATATTTGATGAAACAATATTCCCTTTTGAAAAGCTTCATCCAAATGTCGAAGCCCTCCTTTGTGCAGAAATTGCACTTCTTCCGGAGTATATGTCTAGTCCAGATCACAGGGGTGAGTTAAATAGTGCTGATCATGTGGCTAATTCCAAAGAAAATATGATTTTTGGTGATAAAAGTGCAGCTTCAGGGCGTGATTTCATGCAGAAGGATGCAGCCAATGTTGTCACGGGATCCCGGGAGGATTTGGGCGGCAGCAGAACGGGATCCAAGGAGAATCCTCGCGTCAGGCTGTCAGGTGCGCGATCCGAGGTGATTCCCTCCGTGTCGCATGCGCCAGCCGCCGACAGCCCAGGCAGCGTGGGCCCTTTGAGCCGAGCCAGCACGGGCCGGTGCAGCTCCCTGAGCGCCACGCGCGTGGCTGATGGGCTGGTGGCCAACCAGGAGGCAGGCACGGGGCCCAGCACCAACGTCTCGCCCCGCGCGTCCGAGGAGACAATCAGCACGGGCGACACGCGGCGCGGTTCCACTGGAGCGCTGATCGCGATGGAGATTCCTGCCGTCTTGGATCTGGAGCGAGCTGACGCGTCTGGTACAGCGGATCCAGCCGGATCTTCTGCGGCTGTGAATTTGGCTGAGGATTCTGGTGCATCAGGTATTCCACTTCGACACACGAGGTCTCGGTCCGGTGTTGTTAAAAAGAAGGAATACACTGATGGCACTATAAGGTACGATAAAATTAAACGTGCTTTTCTCACGAGTATGGGTGAACCAACTCATTTGCATGATGCACTTGCTAGTAAGGAGTGGAAAAAGGCCATGGATGTTGAATATGAAGCACTTATGAAAAACAAAACTTGGCATCTAGTACCACCAAGAAAAGGCATAAATGTCATAGATTGCAAGTGGGTATACAAAATTAAAAGGAAATCTGATGGAAGCATAGACAGGTACAAGGCAAGGTTAGTTGCAAAAGGTTTCAAGCAGATATTTGGTATTGACTATGATGATACTTTCAGTCCTATTGTTAAAGCAGCTACTATCCGACTTGTGCTATCTGTTGCGATTTCCAAGGGTTGGAGCTTAAGGCAGCTAGATGTTCAGAACGCGTTTCTTCATGGTGTTCTGGAAGAAGAGGTTTTTATGCGGCAACCACCAGGTTATGAGAACAAAAGCTCACCTCATTTTGTTTGCAAGTTAGATAAGGCTTTATATGGTTTGAAACAGGCCCCAAGAGCCTGGTACTCAAGATTGAGCACTCATTTACAACAACTTGGGTTTACACCATCTAAGGCAGATACCTCATTGTTTTTCTATCAAAAAGGACATGTCATTATCTATGTTCTAGTATATGTTGATGACATTATTGTTGCTAGTTCAAGTTCAGATGCTACCACTTGTTTGCTTAAGGATTTAAAGATGGAGTTTGCTCTTAAGGATCTAGGAGATCTTCATTATTTCCTTGGCATAGAGGTCAAACAGATAAAGGATGGTATACTTCTTTCACAGGAAAAAATATGCTCATGATATACTCAAGAGAGTAGGACTGGAAAACTGCAAACCTGTAAGTACACCAATCTCAACTTCAGAGAAACTCACAATTGATAGTGGAGAAGCACTTGGACCTGAGGATGCAACAAAATACAGAAGTGTTGTGGGTGCATTACAATATTTGACTCTTACACGTCCTGATATTTCTTACTCCGTAAATAAAGTGTGTCAATATTTGCATGCACCTACTACTACTCATTGGACTGCGGTTAAAAGAATTGTGAGGTATCTAAAGTTCTCAGAAGGACTTGACTTAGAATTGTCAAGTCTTCATCTATGCTTGTGACTGCTTACTCAGATGCAGACTGGGCAGGATGTCCTGATGATAGGAGGTCTATAGGTGGATTTGTTGTTTTTCTGGGGAACAAATCTTATATCGTGGAGTGCAAGGAAACATGCTACAGTTTCAAGGTCAAGTACTGAAGCAGAGTATAAGGCTCTAGCAAATGCCACTGCCGAAGTCATGTGGATTCAAACTTTGCTTTATGAGCTCGGTATTAAGACTCCACAAGCTGCAAGGTTATGGTGTGATAATATTGGTGCAACCTACCTTTCAGCTAATCATGTTCTCCATGCACGGACTAAACACATTGAGGTTGATTTCCATTTTGTTAGAGAAAGAGTAGCTCGCAAACTGCTTGATATCAAGTTTATACCCACTGGTGATCAACTGGCTGATGGCTTTACAAAACCTCTCACTATGAGAAGGCTGGATGAATTCAAGTTCAATCTCAACCTTGGCGTTCTGTAGGTTTAGATTGAGGGGGAGTGTTGGAATAATTGTAGAGATAGAATTGTGTAGAGAGAGGACTCTTATGTTTAAACTTGTATCTCTTCTCTATCTCTTCTTCTGCTCTTTACCGACCTTCTCTGTACGATCGATTCCCGATCGATTCCTTCTTGTAAGCCACGGCATTGCCAATATAAATACAACGCTGCCCGACCAAAGGGTTTAACACTTTCCAATATTCTTACATCTAGGCGTTATATGGATAGCCGCACCCACACGCATTGACGCACATCACCAAGGTATATCATATTGCTGTTCCTTAGATGCATAGCTGTGCAATATTTGATGCAGTTATTTTTTTCCAGCATTATGTGCGATCACGTCGTTCAGAAAATATGCATCCTGTAGCCATTAAGGGTAAAGGGAAAAAATATTGATAACTTGAACAATCACAGCGTGAAGATACTCATAATTTTTTCAATACTGGTGCTTCCACTGCTTCAATTAAATTTCACACCAACATAGATGATAACAATGTCGAGCGACTCCCACCAAATGCGAGTCATACTGTCATCACTGAGCGTCCAAATCAGGGATCACAAAGGAATACAATATTATCATTCTCTATACGTATTTTGCCAATTAAGTAATTTTTCTGCATGTACATGATGCATGGCTTGCATTGTTCAACCTTTGATGCAAATTTCTTGGCCTGGCTATTATTCAGCCGCCTTGTTTTTTTTGGCATGAGTCAATCTTTCCGCCATATGTCCTCTAGTAATGGCAGAACCGCAATCCGCCACTACCCTAGATCGGTGTGGCACTGCTATGTCTTCCCGAGCCACTTCCTCCCGCGGCCGTGATGCCACCTCTGCAACCATCACCCTAGTGACACCTTTTCCTGCGCCGGAGACCCCGTAACACCCGCAACTATCAACCTTCTACTCCCCACCACTAGTGATTCCGAGGGTCTCGGTTGCCACCTCGCCTTTTTCTCTAGGAAAATAAATCAATGCCTTTAGCAAAGTATAATTTTGTTGTTATGATGTTTATATTAAGGGGCCCGAGTTTTAGGTCCGCCCTGGGCCCCTAAAATCTTAAGACCGGCCCTACTTGAAAGGAGAGGCTTTGATCCCTACCGTGTATCACCGGGTCTTGTTGTCCACCTATATCCTACAATCTCTCTCCCCGTGCGCTATGTTGCCACAATACATGTAGAAGTGGGGAGCCCTCTCGTACTTGACCTCTAGGTCCATCAGACCATCCACCCCTAGCTATCTAGCACTGATCTCACGCAGGAGATGTGTGTTACATCATGTTCCACACGCACGCGTACAAACTAAGAAAAAAATGTTTCCTTCTTATCAGCATCTACCCTCAAAACCCTGTCTAACAAGCTTCCCAGCTGCCCATCCAAGTTACTGCAAGGGAATTCTTCTAAAAATGTATATAGGAACGAATTTAGTGTTTGCTTTGTATCATGGTAACAGAACAAAAGTTTGAGTGTCGGCATGGAATAAGGTCTCTTCACCTAACCCACACTGTCATGCGTAGTGGGCAATGTGGTTGTACATCTTAGTCCTCCTACCCTAGTTTGAATCGGTGAAGGTTGGGTAGCCCCGGCCTCACTAAGGAGTGTGAAGATTTGTGTTTCCCACTTCATCTGGCAGGAACAATGGCATTTTATAGGTCGTCTTCGGTTTTTTCTTCAACCAATTCAAGGGTGAAGATCGGAGCATTAGTAAGGATATATTAAACGAACCCCACGAGTGACTAAGTTTATACAACGCAGCTCATGTTTATATTCATGGTGAGCCGATACTTCAAGAAGACATAACTTTTGCAAGGCATCATCTTAGATCAATGAGTGGCAGTGATCTCAAGACCCCACTAGCTAATCAACTCAAGCGTTCCCTTCACATACCACTACCACGGACATGTAGGAGGATAGAAAGACTACATTATATATTAGAGTACAAAGAAGAAAAAGGGCACAACCAAATTCTACTTGAGCTTGTGAAACTAGATTTTAACCTTTTGCAACATTACCACTTGAAGGAGCTCAAAGCTATTACCGAGTATATTCAACTCTTATTTCTCCTTTAATCCACAAATGGCTGAGATGAAAAACTAATTAATTATTTGTGCGCCAATATAGTATTAATCATTATGGATACTAGGAAACATGCTCGTGCGCTGCAACGGGAGAAAACAGCCCTCACATGCTCTTACCCACTGAGCATGGCTAAAGACCTCACCCTTGTGCCCATAACATAATAAACATGACTAATACCTCATCCTCCATTTCAATATAACACCAGACACATGTTTCCGCTTGTCATCTTTGCCGTCCTCGTCGCCGGTGTTCGCAGTACCAGCTGTCACTAACCAAGGTTAGCAAGGTCCAATAGCTGGATTGTTGAGCCACCTTCTTGTCCGATGAAGATCAAAAGCGTTGAACACAATTTTTATTTATCATTTGGCTAATATAATAGGGAAAAGGCATTGTACATAATATATGTCCGTGTCATCATGTAAATTGAGTAGTTTGTGTCAGATAGACCATGAAACCTTAGCTGGACTCCTCATGCATTTTGACGGGAGTCACAGGACCGAGTGAGACTGGTTGTACGTGAAGACGCAAAAGAGAACAAGATTCCTTTCATATCCCTAGTTTAATAAAATGAAGTAAAACAAAGCATCATGTGGGCATATTTCAAATATTCGCCAAGTTTTATTAATATATGTATAGATTAAAACAATTTAGCTACACTACTTCCCAGTTAAAAAAACATGTTTACAAAAATGTTTGCCTTTTCAAATTTAAAGTTCAAAAAATATTTGTGTTTTTTAAATGTTTCCAAATTCGAGAAATAATCACAACAATACCTCCTAGTTTTAGAAAATTGTCTGTGTTTTAAAAAATACTCAGGTTTCAAAAAAAATAAAAAGACAAATATTTTTCTTTAAAAAAATGTGCGACTTTAAATTTTTGATTAACAACTTTACCAAATTTTTGATTAACAGTTTAGCTGCCACTATGTACTTAATTTCAAATTTCGTGGTGCAAATAAAACACATTGTCTTGTTTAGTCTATTGGTAAGCATTTGTGTGTTCTAGTTTGAGTGGTTGGGTTCGATTCCTCATGTTGCAGTATTTTTTGTTGAAAATTCTTTTAGCTCGGGCTCTTTGTACGCTAATGGGCCGGCCCATTGCGGCTCTATGTGTCCTGTGATTTTATTTTTTCTTTTGGATAGAAACGAATCGGGAGAAGGAGGAAACCCCTGCGACGTACGAAGCCTGGGACGTACGAAAATTATGTGGGTCCGCCGTGAATGAAAAAAACTGGAGAAACAATCCTCTCTTTAATATTAGGGAAAGATAGAAAAGCATGGATTATTTGGAATGCCTAAAATACATATAAAACTTATAATAGAATTTTATAATTTTCCACTTAACGGCTGTTTACAAATTTTACACCTCCTTTAATCTCCCATATATACATATAATAGGCCCTTCATTGTATTATTACCTTCAAACTAATTTCTCTTTAATTTTACCTTCTATATGTAAAATAATTGTTTTTATTGCACTAAATTTTTTCATCATTTTTCAAAATGTAAAGTAATGTCTTCAGTTTTAGACTATCCATAGTGGGGAGTAACTTAGACTAGTAGCATGCATGTGTTACTTGTCTATGTTACCACCTCTATAGTGAGAGTAACATATGCGTCGTGTCATACAATACTTTATTTATGAGGTTGCAGACTAATAATGCCTTGGTATGTGTAATGTTACCCATAGTATGAGCAACTAGCTATGTTACTTAAATCATCTTTTCTTTATTAAATCATTGCTTCATAAGCAAATTTGATAAGTTAGACCCTATGTTACTACTAAAGTTACTCTCACTATAAGCAGTCTTACTAATAGAAACAATGTGTTTTACCTTTTAGTTCCCCTAAATACATGGTTTTAGTTCTCATTGATGTCTAGAGAACGTCTCCATCTTCTGGTTTTATGTTAGTTGAACGTCCTTTGCATATGTAGTGGTACTCTCTTCGGTCCTTTTTAGTCTGTATATAAATTTTGTTCAAAGTCAAAGTATCTACACTTTGACCAAACTTATAGAAAGAAGTATCAACATTAACAATCACAGGTACAACGAGGTGCTATACAAAGGTTTTTTAACCCCTTTTCACAACGGCATTTTGAACCCTCGCTAGGTGAGTGTGTGCGAGGGGGGGTCCTTCCACATGACCTAAAAACCGTCGGGGGTAGGCCCTCCGGTCACACACGCCGGGCAAAATGAGGTCGTGTGCTACGGGCGAGCGATCAAATTCGGTAATACGTACAGTTATATTAAAAAATAGCAATTATACAGACCTAATCGTTTTCGGTCGTAAGTATATCCCACATAGTCAGTCACAGACAAACGTTTATGTACGTATGTATATTCCACACAGTCAATCCAATGAATACGTTTCTGTTCGTATGTCTATCCCACGCAGTCAATCCAAGAAGTGTGTTTCCGTTTGTATGTACATCATAGACAGTCAATTCAGAGAAAACATTTCCGTTTATACGTACATCACACACAATTTTTCCCATTAAATCGTTTGTGATAGCATTGCCATTACAGACGATATTAACAATTTTACCGTTTGCGTTATTGAATGCATCACACACGGCGTCTAGAAGAAACTGTGTGACATAGGTTGTCCATCACACACATTTTTTATGTGGTAAACGTTTGCGCATGGTGCCATAACACAAACAGTTTTCAAGAGAAAGTCGTGTGTGATTGTTCATTGATCCAACATGTTTTCTTGCTAGATGTTGTGTGCGTTGTCTGATATCATCGCCCCACGGTGTTTTCTTAATAACCTTTTACAATAGAAAAAAAAACCCGATTAGTATGCAAATTGGCCTATTATTAGTAATCCATTTATTAATCAAATTGACATTTCATATTAAGCACATAATATATTTCATTTTCGTATTACGGAACCAGAATTTCAGAAATGGTTTTGCCAATTTCCAAAAATGTTCGTCAGATACAAAAATGATTGATGAATATAGAAATGTTCGTCGATTCAAGAAAATTGTTTAAAAAATGTGCACAATTTTAAAAAAAGTGTTTTCAAGTAGTAAAAATTATTCATGAATTCAGAAATGTTCTTGGTTTAAGAAAATGTTCAAGTATTTGTAAAAGTGTTCATGAGTTTGAAAAATGTTCATGATTTCAAATATGTTCACGCTTTAAAAAATGTTCTGATTTCAAAAATTGTTCATAATTTCACAAAATTGAGAGTAATAGTATATCTCGGTGACAAAGTAAAATATGGCCATGGCCATTGAAGATCACGTATTTTTTGGTTGCAAGGCGCGGGTTCTTTTGCTAGTACAATTTTGAATTTGGTGTCTAGGGCACATCTAGATGTGATCTAGTTATTGCACATCTAAATGAGTGAATCAAACATAAAGTGAAAAAAAAAAGAAAAAATATCCACATAAATCTCGATGTAAGATCAATGACATAGAACTTAGATGTGTGATACTTATGACACATCTAGATGTGCTTTAGCAAAACTGAAAATTTATCTAGCCGAGGATGCAGGCCTTGAATGCGTCCATGTGCGCCGGGTCCATCGACACGGAGGCTTGCACCTCACCATCTCGGCGGCCGCCGACGAGCACCATCTCGCCGTCGTGGTTCATGGACACCAGCTCCACGCGCGCGGGCTTCCCGAACCCGAAGTCAGCCGCCTCGTAGGCCCGGAACCGAGGGCTCGCCGCCACGTTGGTCAGCCGCTGGAACGGCAGCCGCATCAGCTTCTGCATCCACCCCTTGTCCGTCCCGGACAGCGGTGCCGCCTCCATCTCCGCCACCGCGGCCTGCACAGCCCGCGCCGCGTGGAGGATGCCCGCCTGGCCGAGGAGATCCGCCGCGTCGGCGCAGCTCGCCAGGCACGCGCGCACGCAGTTGCCGAGGTAAGCCTCGCTGACACGCGGGTCGAGGCGGGAGCGCAGGTCGGCGAGGAACGCCAGGTACGTGTCGTCCCCGGCGCCGAGCCCCTTGGAACGAACGAACGCCGTCCAGCTCAGCGCCGCCAGCGCCACGAACGTTGACACTGGTTTCGGCTGGGGCGCGTCGCCACCGGCGGCAGTAGACTCGGCGGAGGCGAGGTCGTCGATCCGCCGCCTAAGCGACCGGATCTCGTCGGCGCCGAGGTAGAACGTTCGGCGCGCCAGCAGGAACCGCTGGCTGAAGTCGTACTGCCCCCTCACCTGCGAGGATGTATGCCAATGTCAACAAAACACAAGGCTCGCTTCGCTTGATGGCTCCGAAAATTACCTTTGGGAGATTGGGCGCGACGGTCTTTAGCATCTCGCGGGCGAGCTCGTCGGCGTTCGGGTGTGAGATGACGTCGCGGCTGTAGTGTGGCGGGCCGAGGACCTTGGTGACTGGGGAGCCCTCGCGGGCAGCGGAAGACCAAGCCTCCATGAATCGCCACACGGCGCGTCCGTCGGCTACTGCGTGGTGCACAGACAGGCCGACCGCCAGGCCGCCGCTTAGACGAGTGGCCTGTACTGACAGCACGGGCGCCGGGAGCACCCGTGCATCGAGCTCCGGCACGAGGCTCAGGAATGCGAGGGTGTCGTGCGCCTCGTCGCCAGCTAGACGATGCACATCCATGCCGCCCTCGGCCTCGATGAAGGCGACCCCGGCGTTGGTGCAGTCCACGAAGGCGTCCCCGGTCTCCGCCACGTACTCCAGCGTCCCCGCCAGGGGCAGGTAGTGCGCCAGCGTGTCCGCGAGAGCGCGCTTGAGTCGCTCGACCACAGCCTGGAAGCCGTCGTCACTGCCGCCATCCTCCCCAAGCTGGTACAGGAACACCCGCTGGATCGGCGGCAGCACGACCCACAACGAATCAAGGAAGGAAAGTTTCACGCGTTCCCCGCGCTGCCCCTGCCCGAGCACCGACGGCGCAACCCGGGAAACGGCGACAGCCCGCACGGGCGCGGCCTTGGCGGCGGCGTGGGAGCTTGCCTCGTCCATCCCGACCGGCCGGCACCGCACTTACTGGTTGTTCGCCGGAGAGCTAGATGGGTATGAAAAGACTGATAGATGCGCCGCGCTCTTATAGCGGTGGTGGGCGTCTTCTTGGGCAGGCACAAGGAAGACGGAAGCTGGACCTACGATGAGAACAAAACTGGATGATCCGGCGTTACGCATGATATGCGGTGGTGCGGTCTGCGGTGGAATGGAATACGTGCCGGGTGTAAACACATCCTCACATAGCCACCCACCGAGGCGGCAGGCGTTACGCATCCAGCTGTGCTCATTACTTGTAAGATACTCACTCCGTTTTTCATCTTTATAGAGCATCTACAGCCGTGGACAGTAGATCTGACCCTTCAAACGTCAACAAACCCGTTCGGACGCGTTTGTGGACTGTGATCAGTCATGTCTTAAATTTGTTTCTCTACATCGAAATACCTCATACTAGAAACCTTAGATTCATAGAAAAGTATACAAATGATATAATTCACGTACGACGTAGACCAACTACACGCTTTTATGTCATGCCAACACTTCTATAAAATGGCATAACATAGGAAGGGTTTTTGACACTGCTTATGTTATGGAATGAAGGGAGTAGATACCAGCTGGTTCATGGGCGGAGAGTACAAGGTTCGCTTGGAAAAGACAGCCTGCTTTTATTCATTTAGGACGATAAAAAGGACAGCTAGCGTGGCTGATTAGAAGGTTCCTACCTGCGGTGGACAAATGTGTGTGTGTGTGTGTCTATGAATGCTTCTAGATGGAATGACGCCGGCCAGAGATGGGTTACTGATACGGCCGGTGCTTTGGTCAGAGATTACGTCAATCATCGGGACACGACAGAGAGTAGTCCAACAATAGATAAATAAGGTTAGGAAAATAGAGAAACGGGCGCGCGTCTTGCCGAGCCGTTTTATTTGTTGGGCGTCTGCTTAGTGTGTGTGTGTTGTTTCTTGCTTTTGTATTTCTCAGTATTGTTGCATTACCCCATAAGAGCATCTCCAATGGGTGATGCAAATTTAGGATTGTAAAACTAGTCATTGTATAATTTACAACATAAAAAATGATTTTTATATCTTGAAAAATGTCCCAACTCCAACGATGATATATATTTGGTGATATAAAATTCCTACTCTAATAGATGATGTATTTCAAGATGTAAAACTAGTTGGCATGAGCGCCGGCGGTCGAGCACTGAGAGCCGGGAGGAGCGCCGGAGGGCACCGACAGCCAAGCGATGAGAGGCGGGTGGTCGAATGAGGCCGCGGGAGCTCGAATGGCCGGTGGCGCGGCTGGTAATCAAGAGCCTGATTGGTCGCGACGTGGCGACGGTCACGCGGCGTGAGAAGGTTGAGTCTGGTGGGGGTGTGATGCTCGAATCTGGCGGCGGGGCGTCGGGGGGAGCTCAAATCACGCGGCGGTGATTCAGCAGCGAAGAAAGCGGCCAGTTCAGCCGATTTGGAGAAGGGCAACGGCAGAACCGGCGGCGGGGGCGGTGGAGTGGTCATATCTGGCAGCGGAGCGGTGACAGCGTGGTCCGGTGGGCGAGCGGCATGGTGGCGGAAGTGCGGCGGGACGGAATCAAATCGGTGTCTCATCACCGACTAAGGCGGTGTGGCGGGAGGTGGGGATAGCCGGAGGGATCGCGGTGAGGACAGGGATGGATGGACGGGCGGCGGCGACAATGTTTCCGGCCAGGGGACGAAAGTGCGCGGGCGTCAGGAAGGCTCGGGGAACTGAAATGAAGCGGCGGTTGGCGGTTGATGCGCGCCTGAAATTTTACATCAGCTGGGAGGTAGAGATGCAAATTTGCATCTCAAGATGTGGCATTTTACATCACTAGAAGGAAGTGATATAATATTTTTGCATCTACATCATCTGTTGGCAGTTGTGTCTTGAAGTAGCGATTTTTGCCTTCATGATGTAAAAATTAGTTATTTTAGCATCTACATCTTCTTTAAGAGATGCTCTAAGGGCCCAGGTTAGCAAGCTTGCTATGAGGTTGAATTGTTACGATTATATGTCAAAGATATACATCTCGCATGATTTGTCGAGTCATGCTCTTTTTCATCCTAAATACTGGTTACTTTTTTAGAAGAAGGCTTGAAATGAGCCCGGACTTGAATTAATGTCAGGAATTACATCACTCTTACAAAGAAAATGAACGACTGAAACTGATACAAAGAAAATGAACCATTACAAGCATGCTAGAATCTGGAGCACTAAGAACTGAGCTTGAATGGAGATGCACTCCTCACGAAGGTACCAATTGAGATGTGGGAGACTAGGCAAACTAGGAAGAACCATCACCGGAGACAGCAGATCGAGTGACTAGAGGAGCACAACAACTGCCTACTCTATTCCGAAGGGGAACCCTTTCCCCTTGCCTTGGCTCGAAAGGCGCCTTACCATCAGAAAATAGAGATGCTCACCCGAGAGCTAGCTGAGTGACATCCTTGCCGCATCGACCAATCAATGTCCTTAAATCGATATGCAAGGTACCAGATGTCTCTCTTACTATCTACTGGATACAAGCTTGGATTACAAGCAACAATGAAGCTACAGGATTTGAGGAATCAAAAAGAACAGAAAAAAAAGGACCAGAGGTAGGAGAAGGGAGACGTCATGCCAAAGCCGTGATACACTGGATACTCTCTTAGTTGTCTCTCTAGGGGTTACTTGCTAGTTGCCGAATGGGCCAGGCCCAAGTGCGGGCCCAAAGGACTGGCCCATGTAGGAGAGACTCCTAACACGATCACACATTGCTAGTCACGCCTCCGCTTTCAAAGAACAACCAAGCAGAGTTGGAAAGCTTCCAAGAGCGCCCTCCATCGAACAAGGCGGCTGTCACCGAGAAGGACGAAGAGCAGCGCTAACCAGCGATGTAGCCGGGCCACAACTGAAGGACGGGTGCCTATAGCTTCCGGCACTATGGGTAGGATGACAGGGTGTATATATCTGATCAATAGTTGTCCATGGTTCATGGTGCAGACTGTGGACATAATCAAATATATTATTTTCTTTCAAACGGTAGTTTTATTTATCTATCTATAGCAAATATTCCATCGATTTCAAAATAGAATTTTTAGGTTTGTCCCAAGTCAAACATCTTTTAAGTTTAACCAAATTTATTCATAAATATACAAACATTTAAAGCACCAAATTAGTTTCATTAGCACTCGCAAAAAAAAAAGTTTCATTAGATTCATTATAAAATAAATTTTCATGTTGTATATATAAATTTAAACTTATAGATCTTAGTATTTATATGTAGATGATTAAACTTAAAATTTTGAACTTCCGACAAACCTAAAACTTTAAATATTTTTGCGTCAATCGCTCTAAGATAGACCAACATGCATGCAGGCGCGAGGAGTGCGTTAATGAAGTGGGCTCAATCGCAGCATGTGTAGGGTGAGAGTTGAGTGTACAGATCTGAGCACTAATTGCCCATATGGTCCAAGGAAGATTGGTCCAAGCTGCTGACTCTGCGTGATCGTCAATGATCGATCGATTGGATCAAATGCATTAGTGAATTGCTGGGCATCAATGTGCAAAAAAAAAAAAAGAATTGCTGAGCATCAGATCACTTGCTTCCATCAGACCAATCGAAGGCCCTAGGATTGAAAGCATGCAACTCGTTGGATCTGCTAGTATAGTTCTGCGTGTTGTTAGATTGCTTGCTTAATTAAGTCTGCCGTGGAAACTGCTCCCGCTGAGTTCGCTCCAGTATCCTCGCTAACTGCCTCTCTCTGCTGCCGTTTGTTCATCCTCTGAGTAGATTCCATTGGATTTTTACTGAACGTGCAGCCCACAAATGCAGCCTTGTATGCTTCCTGTATGATTAAGTTTGCTTTCAATATCATCGCAAAAAAAAGAAGTTTGCTTCCAATGAAGTGCTTCCTTTTATGAGACCCGCCAATACATATTTGCTTCCTACGAGTTGATAATCAGCATAAAATATGATCATAAAGAGGCCAAGACCCCTCTTGCCTGGGGTTTGTCTACGCTACTGGGCCAGGTGCCGAACTAGCTGTCATCTCAGCAATCGCCCTCCCAGTTAGAACAGATGGGTTTAGGGTTTTGTGTGGGATTACATCCACCTCACATCTCAATATATAGATGATCAGATTACATACGTATACATGTACAAATACAATATATGCAAACTAGACCCTATTTTACATACCCCTCAATTTGAACTACATACAAGATTCAGATTTGTTCTGAAGCAGTCTAGCATCTCACGGGTAGGCGGGTTTAGTAAATACATCCGCTAGTTGATCATCTGTTGAAATGAACCTGACCTCCAATGCACCTGCAGCTACTCGTTCCCTCACAAAATGAAAGTCAATCTCAATGTGTTTGGTCCGAGCATGAAACACTGTGTTTGTCGTCAGGTAAGTTGCCCTTAAAATATCACACCACAATATGGGTGTGCGCTGTTGTGTAACTCCAAGTTCTATGAGAACTGAGTCTAACCAAATGGCTTCAACCGCGCCATTTGCCAATGCCTTGTACTCTGCCTCGGTGCTAGATCTTGAGACTGTAGGCTCCTTCTTTGAACTCCAAAATATAAGATTGGGTCGAACAAACACAGCAAAGCCACCCGTGGAACGCCTGTCATCAACACAGCCTGCCCAATCTGCATCAGAGAATATACTGACTCCAGTAAAACGTGACTTACGAATGCGTAGTCCTATGTCTAGCATACCTTTGACATACCTCAAGACACGCTTGACTGCTGCCCAATGAATCTCCGTAGGCTGGGACAGAAACTGACACACCTTGTTCACAGCAAAGGAGATATTGGGACAGGTAAGTGTCAAATACTGAAGTGCTTCAACTACACTGCGATACCTGAAAGAGTCATCGGTACTCAGCAGTGCACCACTGTGACGTGAGAGGCTCTCGGATGTAGCAAGTGGAGTGGAAGTGAACTTGCAATTCTCCATGTTGACGCGATGAAGAAGATCAAGCGCATACTTCTTCTG